TTTTTTCTTCTCTATTTCTATTAAGCGGAAAGCGAGAACACAGTACCCCACTACCACAAATTAAGCAGTCGAGTTTCTCACATTTGGGGGAAATCATGGGGGTCAGAACATCCAGACTGCAATGGATAGGCCTCCTTCTGGGAAAACCACCTTCGTGTTCATGGTATCTCCCCTGCTTGTGTTCTTTGGGTCAAGACACAAAATGTGTTAATTGCTTTAATTTAAAATGTTGCTTTTATTGTTGTTCGAGACGGTCTCATTCCGTAAACCAGACTAGTCTAGAAGTTTTGCCAATCTACTGCCTCAGCCTCCCAAATGTTGGGATTAGAGGAGTGAGTCACTGTTCCTGCGGGATCTCTTTTATTTTTAGACAGTTTCGTGAAGCCCAGACAACTCATGACACAGCAGAAGATGACCTTTAACTTCTGACTTTCCCGCCTCCACCTCCCTAGTCCTCCAACTGCAGGTCTGTCCTGCCAAGCTGGGCTTTATGTGGTAGTGGGGTGCTGAGGTGGAGGAAGTACTCTACTGAGGTACAACTTTAAGCTTTGCTTATGCTTTGCTATTTGAGAGTTTCACACTTGCCTACGATGTGTTTTGATCAAATCTCCCCCATTCCCTCATCTCCAATTCCTTTCCTTTCCCTCCCAACTTCACCTGCTCTTCTTTTAGACCCACTGATTCCACTTTGTGCTGCCTGTACGGACATGGGTGTGGGACTGTCCACTAAAACTCTGTAGGTACCACATCCACGAAGAAAACTGTCTCTTCCTCCCCCTGCGGCATCAACTGTCAATAGCTCCTCAGCTAGGGATAAGACTTCATGAGCCCTTCTTTCAACCATGCTTGGATTTGGGCTGGCTTGTTCTTGTGCCATGCCTGGCTCTAAAGGTGGAGTTTTGTGAAGCAGGTACTATTATTTTCCTGAAACTACAAAGGAGGAAACAAAGGACTAGAGGGTGTGTCTGAGGTGAGTTGGGTGACTGAAGTAATTACACTTTTTTTCCCTTTTAGACAGGGTCTTATTATGCAGCCCTGTCTGTCCTGAAACTCGCAATGTAGACCAGGCTGGCCTTGAATTCACAAAGATCCACCTGTCTCTGCCTCCTAAGTGCTGAGATTAAAGGTGTGCACCCCTATGCCCAGCCAAAAGAAATAGACTGTCTTAGGGTCTCTACTGTTGTGATAAAACACCATGAACAAAGTCAACTTGGGGAAGAAAGGATTTATTTCATCTTACAACTTGTAGTTCATTATCCAAGGAAGACAGGGTGGGAACTCAAGGCGGGAACCTGGAGGCAGGAACTGATGAAGAGGCCCTGGAGGGGTGCTGCTTCTTGGTTTGCTCCTCATGCGATGCTCCGTTGGTGTCTTAGCAATCAGGATCACCGTCTAGGAGTGGCACTGTCTGCAGTGAGATGCGCCCTTCCATATCAAGCATCCATCAAGAAAATGCATCACAGTCTTGCCTTCAGGCCAATCTGGTGAAGGCATTTTCTCAGTTGAGGTTCCCTCTTCCAAAATAACTCTAGATTGTGTCAAGTTTAAAAAAAAAAATCAAGAAACCAGCCAGCACATCAACAACTCCATGCTACCCTTTATAGGTAGTGGACCTGATAGTTGTCATTTAAGCTATTATTGTTGGAAGGGTTTGGATAACAGCAAATCTTATTGAATCATCTACTATTAGGTTTGTTTGTTTGTTAATTAAGTCAAGGTCTCCTTATGCTAGCCAGGCTGGCCTGGAACAACCAGCCTCAAAGTGATAGGTTCTCCTGCCTTAGCTGTCCCAGCATTTGGACTACAATGCATGCCACTGTGCCTGCCTTAAGATGATAATCTATCTGCTTATGAATGGGACACTTTGGAGTTAGCAACCATTTCAGACACTTAGGACTGTGTTCGCTGCTGTCTGTTTCTTGAGGCTTGGCAAGGAATAAAGGTTGCATCCTTGCTTAACCAATCGTAAACTGGATTCGCCCCTTTCTGAGATAAGAACCTTCATGGAGGAGCTGGAAAGATGGCTTAGTGGTTAAGGGCACCGAGTGCTCTTCCAGAAGTGCAGTTCCCAGCACCCACATGGCAGCTCACAACTGTCTGAAACTCCAGTCCCAAAGGACCTAACACCCATGGCAAAACACCAAAGCACATTAAAAAAATAATAATAAATTAAAAAAAGAAAAGAACCTTCCTGGAATGGGACTGGCCTCCAACATCCTCCCATCAGCCCTGTAGCTTCTGAGTTAGTAACCTTCCCATCCCAGGCACACTTCCTCCAGCTCGGCAGTTAATTCTTTCCCTTTTGCGAAGATTCTGCTTCTGATGGAGGGAGCCGCAGAGGCTTTCCTCCTTCCTCTCAGTCCTATGGGTGGAGAGAGGACTTGCTACGTGGTGGAGAACAAGTTTCAGATGCCCAGAGGCAGCCAACTCTGCTTACCTCGGGAGGCTATCCGGGTGCTTCTTAAACTCCAGGTTGTGATCTCATATAGGTTGTGTAATTTATTGTGGAGCAGGGGTCATGAAAATTTGGCAACTGTAAAAGATTTCTGATGTCAGGTGGTGGCCAACATGGCGAATGCCTTTCATGGCAGCACTTGGGAGTCAGAAACAGGCAGATCACTGCGTTCGAGGCCAGCCTGGTTTATAGAGTGAGTTCCAGGACAGACAGCCAGGGCTACACAGAGAAGCTCTCTCTCAAAAAAACCAAAACCAAAAACCAAAACCAAAACAAACAAACAAAGTTTTTGGGACACACACACACACACACACACACACACACACACACACACACATTGGGCCAAAAATTAATTCAAAATCAAACACCATGGATCTGAGTTGTGTTTCTGGCTGTACTTGCCTGTGTGGCATCTTGTGACTTTGCAGTACTCTTGGTTTTGAACACACAGCATGTGCACTTGGCTCTGTACACGCTGGCACACCATAGCACACCAAGGAACACTGCTTGAAATACTACTGCTCAGATTTGCATTGCAGTGTTCTTACTGGGTACACAGTGTTCTGCTTCTACAGCAACACAGTGATTTAACTATGGAAAACACAGACAGTGATCTTCTACCATCATTCCTCAGTATGTATCATATTAGCATACCTTTGGGTTATACTGTGTTAGAATGTTTGGTGTTAAAAATGACTGTTTGAGTTGTTGACTTGAGTTTTGTAAGAAGAAGAAATCATTAAATGAAATTTTCGTTTGGAACTAGGACAGAACTCCCAACAGTTTCCGAGAAGGCCCTACACATATTTCTGCCATTTTGTACTACACCAGACTCAGGACTAGCAATTACAAAATAAAACAGTGAAAAATATTGAAGATGCTCTATGCCCTGCAGTATTAAGCAGGTTAGTTCTTTATATAGAAACAAGCATATTCATCTCATTTATTATCACTAGGGAATGATCTTAGGCAACCCTTCTGTCAGTGAGCTATATAGACACAACCCAAAGCATAGTTCATTGTCTTTAATGAATGGCAAAATTCTATATATACCCAGGAATTGTTTTAAAATCAATTTATGATTATCAGGAAGTGTTTGATTTGTATGTGTTTTATACACCTATATAGTTAGGGGCCAGGTAAACTTTTTTTTTTTTCAGGTAAAAAGGGGCCATGAGTGGAAAAGTTCACGAGACCTTGATATAAGGCTACCCTGTTTTTGTCCAGTCTGTGAGGGGCCTGGAGTCACAGTTCAAGTACAGGGAACTGGACATGTAGTTCACTTTGGGATAGGATACAGTTATTCAAGGCATGGGCTCAAAATTTAAAAACATTTTTTTATTGTGTTGGGTGGGGGCTCATGTGGAAGCCAGAGGACAGCTTATGGAAGTTGGTTCTCTTCTTCCATCATGGGGGTGTGGACATCGAACTCAGGTGGTCAGGATTGCCCTCAAGGGCTTTAACTAGCTGATCCAGAGTACTGTCCACTCTTCCATCTCTTAAAGTAAAAATTATGGAGTGGCCTTGCCTTTGTCCCTTCAACTTTTTGTTAGATGACAGGCCTCTTCATTTTTCTATAACACTGCCCGTCAACTGTGGATTGAATTTTGACTTTATTTTGCTCTTTAACAAGGTGAGTCACAATACCTGAATTTAATGCAATTCTGTAGACAAACTTGTACCCAGCCCAGGCTAAGCAAAGTGCTTTACAAGTATTGCCTCATTTAGCTTATCTAATAAACGTCTGTTCGAATCTGTGGGTCGGGTAGGGGCTTCCTGGAATTTGACTTAACAACGCGGCTCCCCTTTCTTGGAGAGAGGCCGCAGGAGAGAAGGAATAGAGTTGAGCAGCTGGCAGTGGGAAGGGCAAGGCCGCCTCCCTCTTCCCGGCAGCTGTCTTACCAGGCCTGACCTCCTTTCCCCAAAGGCAGGCAGGGGTCTCCACCTCTGGCCCAAGTCCAGTCGGTGGGAGAGTGGGTGGCTTTTTCCGGGTCACTGGCACACCCTCTCTATCCTAGCCACCTGCCCGGGTCCTATCCCAGTTCCAGGCTCCCTGGAGGGACTCAGGGACATTCCAATCCTCCCACTACCCTTTTAGACGCCGCGGGAGGAGGGAAGGGGGCGCAATTGCTTGGCCCTTCTAGAACTCAGCTTTGTCTCGGCCCTTTTTCAACCCCTAGTGTCCTGATTCACCCCGTAGAGGAAACGAACGATTGATGAAAGGCTTGAAGGTTGGTCGTTTACAACCGACTCTTTGGCGAAGCCGCATCTTCATCAACAGCGGCACTTTCTGGACACCGTCTGCGCTCTTGCAGACAATTGAAAGCCAAAGCGCCAAGTTGCCTCCTCACCAGACCAAATATGGTCACAAGCGCTAAGCAGCCTTCCGTGGAAAGTCTGGCCTCGCGGGTGTCTCCCTGCGCCAGGGTGCGCCCCGGCCCGACCTCAGGCAGATCCGCGCCCCGTGCCGCGTTCCGGGTGCGGGGGCGCTCCCCTCAAGGCGAGGGCACAGCGCTCTGGGCCGACCCTTTCTGGGCCCTGGCCCCTCAACAGCGTGCCCTCCGTTATTCTCAGGCTTGGATTTTGTCCATAACCCCTTGATTTAACAGGCTTGAGCCATTTTCTCTTTGATCCCGCCCCAAGTCAGTGGTAAACTCAAAGGAATGCAGATAGAGCGCTCGGCGGGAGAGGTCGGCGCGGCGGGGCGGGGGCACCGTCTCTCTCCAGCCCCGAAGTGCCCAGCCCACCCCCGCCAGCCGGGCCGGGATGGGAGGAGGAGGAAGAGGAGGGGCATGGGGCAGGCTGGCTCCAGCCAGGAGGTCATGCATAATTCAACAGCTCCACTTTCGGCCCGCCTCTTTCCTAGGGGTGGGAGTTTGCAGCAAACTTTGTTTATGGGACAGTCCGGGAGCCTTGGCGGCCGCGCTCGTCTGCGTCTTCGCTGTCGCCTCCTCGCGCAGTGCGAGCGCCTGGGGCCGGCTCCGGGGATGTAAGAGTCCAAACCTTCGGCTGCTGGGAATCCGCTCAGGATCTGCCAGCCAGGGCCGAGTTCCAGTTCGCTAGTTCGGGAGGCACTCAGGCTCGGCTTCCCCGCGTGCCCAGGTAGCACCCGCCGCGCCCCGCACCCTCCCGGGCGCCCGGCTCTTCGGCGTCGGCGGTCCGGGCACTTGGGGTCGGCGATGGGTGTGTTGCTCAGGGGAGGCTGCGACAGGGCCTGATGCAGGCACCCCCATCTCCTCCCGCTGCTGCCTGCTCAGGGGAGCTTCTTGGCTGCGGGAAAGTTGCATAATCTCGGAGGCCAGGGGCGCCCCCTCCCCCACCGCTGGTCCCTCGACCCGTATCTAACTGTCTCTGCGTTCTCTCTGTCTTTCCCCGGGACCCCTCCTCTGACTTGAGCTAAAAGTTTGAACTGATCTTCCTTTTCCGTTGCAGAAAGATGAATCCGTCTTCGGTGCCCCCTTCGCTCCCGCCGCCAGGGCAGCAAGTCATCCACGTCACGCAGGACCTCGACACGGACCTCGAAGCCCTCTTCAACTCTGTCATGAACCCCAAGCCCAGCTCTTGGCGGAAAAAGATCCTGCCAGAGTCCTTCTTCAAGGAGCCCGATTCTGGATCGCACTCGCGGCAGTCCAGCACCGACTCATCGGGCGGCCACCCCGGGCCTCGACTGGCGGGCGGCGCGCAGCACGTCCGCTCGCACTCGTCGCCTGCATCCCTGCAGCTAGGCACTGGTGCGGGCGCCGCTGGAGGCCCTGCACAGCAGCACGCGCATCTCCGTCAGCAATCCTATGACGTGACCGACGAGCTGCCACTGCCCCCCGGGTGGGAGATGACCTTCACGGCCACTGGCCAGAGATACTTCCTTAAGTAAGTCAGCCGGCAGCCAAGAGGGGCATAGTTGCCATACCCAGTTCGTGGTGTGTGCGTGCGCGTGTGTATTTGAGAGACAAGAGAGACTGACTGAGACTCTTCCAAGGTTCTTCAGAGATCTGCAAAGTTGGAAAAGCAGGGAGTGAGTCTCTGGGAGTTGGACTGGACTAGAAGCAGAGAGCCAGTTTTTGTGATTTTAGGCCCTTAGCCTCCCTCACTTAAGTTCGCTAGCTCAGAGCCGGGTCTATTAGCATAAGATAACAGGAACGTTGGGAGACCTTGGAAGAGGAGGATCTGCCAGTGAGGAGGTGGTCTGAGTTCTTCAACCACTCAGGAAAAGCAAGCCGAAAAAGAGCACAGTGCCTAGTGGGTTTATACCTCTCCCAGCTGGTGATGTAATGACCACACAGCACAGTGATGTAATTACCAACTGCATTGTAAAGTAGTTATGGGTTGGACCAACAAATTGTGTGGAAATTGGGTCAGGAGTCTTATTATGTTACACTTGGTAACCTAGAATACCATCACCTCAGGAGTGTGCGTCGTCATCCTTCATACCACATTGGTCCAGCTTTTGGATGTAGTGAATTTTACATTAGATTCAGTTTTTGGATTAGGTTGTACAGAAAAATGTATTTTCAAATGCTAGAAGAGATTGGCATTCCTGAGGAAAAAAACAGGCTGGAACTTGACTTGTTATAGGAACCAGTGAGGCCATAGGGGTCAGGCTAGCAAAGGCCTAGATAGAAGTTGGGGCTGAACGACTTGGTGCAGAATACTTCAACTTGGCCAATCTTCACGGCCAAAAGGGGAAATGCCCACGGACTCACATCTTAAAGTTCATCTTAGAGCCCCATTTCTTCGTTGAAGTAGCCTTGTTTCAAAAAGTTCAAATGTAGTATAGCATGTACTCTTTTAAAAAAAGTTTAACCAAACTCCTGTTTGGCTTTAATCTTTGATCCTTGGATTGGTGAGGCCCTAGGAATGAGCATGTGGTGGTGGATGAGGTTTGTGCTGGTTGTCTTTTCTTCCTTCCCCCATCCCAAAGCTGTTGACATCTTGTGCATATTGAGATTTAGTTTGCTGGGCGGTGGTGGCACACGCCTTTAATCTGGCACCTGGGAGGCAGAGGCAGGCGGATCTCTGTGAGATCAAGGCCAGCCTGGTCTACAAAGCGAGTTCTAGGACAGCTGGAGCTGTGACCCAGAGAAGCCCTGTCTCCAAAAACAAAAAGAGATTTATTTTATTTTATGTGTATGTGTGTGTGTGTGTGCCTGGGTGTATGTGTATGTACCACATACAGGAAGTGCCCTTGGAGGCCAGAAGAGGATGTCTAATTCTCAGGAACTGGCAGTGTGAGCTGCATCCCCCTCCCCTGATTTGGGATTTGGGTGCTCAGAACTGAACCCCAGTCCTCTGCAAGAACATTAAGTGGTCTTAACCACTGAGCCATCTCTCCAGCCTCTTGGAAATACTTTTTGTTGTTTTTATCTTAGTTTTGGGGGTTGGTGTGAAGCCAACTCGATGGCCTTTTATCACAGCTGGTGTAGACATGTGCTCAGTGCTTTGATTTCTAAATAGTGGTAGAAGTCAGGTATATGATGTATTAGCATGACATTGTGCTAAGTTTACAAAGGAAGACAGTTTCTGTAGTGCGTACATGTTCAAAATATTATGTATTAAGTTCACTTGGGTAAATACAACTGTATGTATTTCACCATGACTTTTATTAACATGGACTTTGCAATAAATCTAAGCAGTCTCAATAATTTTAGATTGTCCCTTTTGGTCTCAGATGACTTTTAAACTGCTCATGAATATGAAATAAGAGCTGGGATTGCCTAATGTCTGTGAGAACATAGACAAAAATGGCCTCTAAATAAAAACAAATTCTTTTCTACATGTCTTTTTAAGTGGTTAAAGTTGTGATTTAAGGCAGAAATAGGAGTTAGCCTTGTGTCTAGAGAAAGTTGCTGGGACCTGTTTCTGTGCACCTGTGCAGCTCCGGGCACTCCTCCAGCTAAACCAGAGTGCTCCTTCATTTCATTCTGAGTAGCTGGTGGAGTGTAAATAGTAGGCTGGCATGACCTGATACCATCCCTGGAAATTTCTAAGCTAAGTGACTAAGAGAATTTAGGGAATTACGTTTTTGGTGAGTATTGTCTTGTAGAATAAGCAATCTGCCCAGAATCCTCCATGTCTTTTAGACCTTTGCTTGAAGTTTGAATAAGGTAAATGTTCTGTGTCACATTTTGATTTCTCGAACTCGATTTCTCTTGAACTCTTGGTCTATTACTCAGCTTTATCATCTGTAAATGGGGCTAGCAGAAGAATCCCTTTGTTGACTATGGGGAGCCCAGGTTTTTATCAGTCAGAAACCAAAGGAATTTGGAATTGACAAGGATCAGTTTGAGGGTTTTAGTGGCTTTTGTGTTTCATTTTTTTTTTTTTTTTTTTTTTTTTTTTGGCTAGAGGAGGCTGAAGATGTGATTTGGCAGAAGTCATGTTATTTGACAGAGGACTCTGACAGAAATAATGTCTCCATCTATTTTGAAGCAGGTGTTCTTTTCCCTTTCTAAAGACCCCCCTTTTGCTTATGTCACTAACACAGCTGAACAGTGGCTTTAGGGGGAATAGTCCTCTAAGGGGCTTTTACCTGTCTTTTGTCATTTTCTTAGGTAAGCTAGATTATTCCTAGGTATGTGATGTCATCGCTTTCTGCTTTTTTTTTTTTTTTTTTTTAAAGCAGGGTCTCACTTTGTAGCCCTGGCTGGCCTCCCAACTCACAGATTTCCCTGCCTGTGCCTCTGAGTATTGGGATTAAAGGCAGCCCTTTCTGTTTCTTCTTAAAGATTGCTTTTTGGATAGTCACGCCTTTTCTCTGGTGTGGCTACCTTTAAGGTACTGGATAGAGAGGCAAAGCTGAAACCTGGTGATTCCTCTAAAACTCTGAGTCTACCCGAGTGCAGCCTGGCTCGGTACTGAACCCACTGAGGGCTTTTTTTTTTTTAAAGCTTATTTTATCGATACCTGAGAAGGTCAGAGCTTCCATATTCAATTGTGGGCAGCCCAACATATATGCTGGGAACCCCAGTGCTCTGGAAGAGCAACAAGCATTCTTGATTGATTCATCCATCTGTTCAGCTTCCCTACTGAGAGTATCATTTTATTTTTAAATTTGTGATTATAATGGAATACATGGTTTTTGTGCATGAACCATAAAACAGAGTTATAAAGAAAATGATGACCTTCAGTTAACTGTTTCAGTCTTTATTCTATAAATGTTATTGTAGAAAAGCAATAATTCTGTTAGAGAAAACTTTCTCCTACTCTTACATACAATAACATTGCCCATTCTTATTAATAATTGCCATATTTTACTTTTTTTTTTAATAAAGACAGGGTCACATGATGTAGCTGTGGCTGGCCTGGAACTCCTGCCTGTCACTGCCTCCTAGGAGCACTAGGATTAAAGGCATGGTCACCAAACCCTGCCTTTTCTGATATGTATGTTAAAATACATTTTGTTAGTCAAATTTCTTCATGCTGGTCACAGATCTAGTAGTGTACAGTCGTCTTTGGTTGAACAACAGTGATTTCCTTCGATCCTCAGTGCTCACGGATAAGAACCATTAAACTTTTAAAAATTGTATCTGTAGTTGATTAGGTTTCCTCTTTAACCCTCAGGGATAGACTCTGATAAGGTAGGGAGAGCATAGTTCCTTACACTAGTTTTTTTTTTTTTTTCTGAGTTTGTTGTTTACATGTTGTTTGCCTGTTAGTCATCTTTTTTTATTTATTTGCTTTTTTTTCAACCTTTTTTTTTTTTTTTTTTTTTTTTTTTAAAGTCGGGGTCTCATGTATCCCAAGCTGTTTTCAAAGGCTGAGAATTACCTTGAACTTGTGATTGGTATTCCAGCCTTTCCTCCCGGAGTGCTGCTGGGATTTCAGGCACGTGCAACCATGGCTCATTTATATTGTTGAACCCATGGTTTCATGCATGCTAGGCAACACTCTGTCAGCTGCACTGCAAATCCAGCCAGTTTGTCTCTTTTGGTAGACTGTCCCATTCTGTAAGTCGGTGATGTATGGCTGACTGCTGGTTCTTACAGGTTGCCTGCTCACAGGGACCTTCCATATTACCGGAGCCAGGAACCTATGACCCGAATTTGTGCTTTGTCTAAATGGTGATGAGACAGGATCTCACTGTGTAGCCCTGGCTTTCCTGGAACTTGTTTTGTAGGTCAGGCTAGTCTTGAACTCACAGAACTCCGTCTGTCTCTGTCTTCTTATTGCTGGGGTTAAACTGGTGTACCAATAGACTCATAAATTCTTTCTTCTTAAGATTCGTTGTTACCAATTTTTTATTTATTGTATGTGTCTGTGTGACTGCCCTGTGTGTGCTGGTTCTCAGAGGCCAGAACAGAATGGTGGGTTCCTTGGGGCTGGAGTTAGAGGCAGTTGTGGGCTGTGAGAGTTAGGAACTAAACTTGGGGCCTCTGGAAGAGCAGCAAGTGCTCTTAACCACTGAGCCATTTCTGTAGCCGTTCATAATTCTTAAAGCTGAGAATCCACAGTCAGCATTTCTATGATTTTAATTCTATAAATGATTAATTTCCTTATATATTAGTCAAAATTGGATTTTGCATATTTATTGCTTTGGTTTTTTGAGACAGGGTCTCCTTTGCTGGCTGAGAACTCAGTCTGTGTAGACCAGGCTGGCTTTGAACTCAGAGATCCAGCTGTTTCTGCCTCTGAGAGTGTGCATCACTCGGCTGACATAGATTGAATTTTCAACTAGCACTTGTGTCTGACATTATAAATCCTTAACCAAACAAGAGAATGTATCCAACCCACAATGAAATGGATTTTCTTCTTACTCTTCATTGACTAAATTTACATCCCTTCTCTTTCATATTTTGACCATAATTTTTTGAGACATAGTCTCATTCTGTAGCCCAGGTTGGCCTCAAATCCATGATGATCCTCCCATTCAG